TTAAACGTTTTCAGAAACTGAACATTAAGAGTAACACTAATGAGATGTTTGTCTACTAACCATCAGGGGAGAATGCAATGTGTGTAACAGCGGTCGCATGTGGCTGCATCTTCATGATCATCTCCACACGACCCAAGTCAAACATTCTCACTGTGCCATCTCCGTAGCCTGCAACGCAATGTGATTGGTTGATGGAATCACGTGATTCAGGGGAGGTCTGTGGAAGCACTGTGGCTAGTGTCTGTCCTTGGTTTACAACATTTGTTGTGGCAGCTGCTTCTGGTATTGGACAGAATGCCACACAGTTACAGCTCTATTGAGAAAAGAGGAGAAATGTTTCATTAATYATGACGGAAGAGAAAGGTGACGTTATGTAATGTTTAAAGTCCGACAATGAGGACTGGAACTAATTGCAAGGACTTGAAATCCCATCCAATCCGAATTGGAGGACTTTGAAGGATACATCACATCTGGACTGTTTTAACTACAGACACATGATAGATTAAGGAGAGCTTGGGACAAAACAAGAATGCTTGCTCCTTTGGGAGCTAAATTCATTGTTTTCTCTTCCAAACAGAGCTTCATCCTCTTAAATCCAGAGGGAGGTCATTAAGGGGCATGCAGGTGGAGCTCATACCTGGTTCATAACCTGGAACTGTAGATGTTCTAAGTTATCAGTGGTCCATAGATGAAGCACTCCATCTGTACCACACGTAGCAAAGTACTTGTCATCACTTGAACTGAACACTACAGACTTGATCTGAATTGATAAAAAAATGTAAAATAAACAAAGGAAATGCAGGTGTCTCGCATTAAATTGGTTCACTTTATTTTTGATATTCAAAATTGTTGCATTTCTATATGCACCTTGAGTTAGTACATGTGACACTAAAATTAACCAGTATCACTATATTTCATCTCTTCTAACTTTGAATTGTTCACTTGATAAATTCTACATTTGTAACATTTAGTTAGAGCCTTACCTCTTGAGCATGTCCACTAACCAGTCTTATGCTGGTCCGCTCAGCCCAATTGACATACCACAGGGTACCCACAGTAGTACCAAMTATTCCCTGGTTGTAATTTAAAGAATTAGCCATATGAAAGGATAACAAATAAATAATAAAATGGACAAATAAATTATTACCGTTTGCAGAYTATCATCAAAAGAAGCAGATATTATAGCACCATCCATATTCATCTCATCTTCCATGACAAGACTTTCATTTGTTATCCTAAAAACAACACAAAAAATGACTTATTGAATCGTCACAAAATGACTTATTGAATCATCACAATAGCATAGGTCAATCGCCAGCATATTTCTTAGTTTTCCACCAATAAGACATCACTATGGCATGCACTGTGCTCAAGAGTTGCATCTAATGATGGTATATGTCATTTATTATTTTCTGCAGGTTCACACTAGACATTTAACCAGTTTGTTGAAGTGCTTCATTTTTCCATGTGTCAAGCTTGTACAGTTTGGGACCATATACCTGTAATTGTCTCCTTGTGTTCTGATGCTGTTAACTCCAATGACGGACCATATTTTGAGGACACTTGAACATCCTCCAGTCACTAAGTGATCCTGACCAAACACTAGAACATCTAATAAAGTAAAGGTTTGATAATATTGTCCATGCTAAAAGTCTAAATRGTTAGRGYGRGGKKGGGGTGGGGTGCATGTGCAAATTTAACCTACCAATTTCAGTCTTGTCAGCCTTCCAGTGTATAAAGCATTTGTTTTGCTGTGTATCCCAAGCAAACACTAATCCTACACAACCAAGATGAAAAATGAATGACAACATACCATATAYATTAGATGATGAATGAATGTCAAACACAGGAGAACAGATATAATTTATATATTATTAATATAGTTTTGGAAAGTATTAAGGAATGCAGGATAAGAGGGCCAGAGATGCACAAAAATGGTACAAAAAAGTTGTTGCCTCCTCCACAGACAACCATTCATTTTGCCTTTTTGGGGTCCCTTTGGTATAAAACAGGAAGCCCAATTGTATATGGATGAGACTAGTATAGTTGAACCTTACCATCAGATGTTGCTGCGTACAGTATGAAGTCATTAGCATAGCAAATAGCAGTGAAATGACCTGATGCTTCATCCTATAAACAGAAGTGTATGCTTATATTAGTTGATTTTTTGCTTTGAAATCGTAAAAACCATGGATTATAAAATAATAAAGTTTTTTACAACCCATGACAAACATAGAATCTATTCACTTTTGGTTTAGAAATTACAGTCAAATGACCTGACGCTTCATCCTATAAACAGAAGTGTATGCTTAGTTGATTTTTTTCTATGAATCATAAAACCATGGATTATAAAATACAATTTTTTTATAACCCATGACAAACATAGAATCTATTCATTTTTGGTTTAGAAATTGCAGTCAAATGAGCTGAGTCTGATTCAGTGGGAGTAATAGTCAAACTAATCAAAGGCACAAGCACAATCATAAGTACTTACAGCTTTATTGACAATTATATCCCCAGGAACTTCAGGTTCGTGCATCTGGATGTTAGATATAAAATGAATACACACGTAAGACATTAAGAAGGAGCTGAGCAATGAACTTAACTGCTAATTAGCAGGGATAACTATAAAATGATGTTATTATAATCAATATATAGTGTTCATAAAATAGATACATCGTAGCTCTCACTGTTATCATTATTATTCTCAACTGTATACTTACATTCAGGTTGAATGATAGTGAAGACTCATCCAGCAACCAAAACACAATGCATCCATTGTGTCCCACCGTAACAAACTCATTCACTCTATAAGGGTCCCACTGTAAGTCATGAATAGGTTGGCTTGCATACGATGAGGTAATGACTTCATAGTTTGCGGTACTCCATACCACTATAGAGCACTCTCTGTAGTCACCAACAGATATCAGAAATCGGTCGTCTCTAGAATAACTCAGGTTTATTACCTCGTGTTTGTGATAGGTTAATACCTGGAATAATAATAAGAGCTTRTAAATTATTGGCAATTACATGCAAACAAAAATAATAATGATAATAATATAAATATAAATTTATTCATACCTTATCACAAGAACCATCTTTGACTTTCCAAATACAAATCTGACTGGTAGAGCTTGGTGATGACCCTGATGCCGATGCAAGTACCTGGCTGTCATTTTGTACAGTAAGAGTTGAAACRTCTTCAGTGTGACCAACCAAGTGCCTTTGTTTACCAGAATGGAGGTCTTCTATGACTATAATGGCACCATTACTGTATGCAAACAGACCTAAAGCAAAGTGTAAAAAAATTATGGAAAATACAGATGTCAACAATTGTGAAATGATTGTACCTTTTTTGTAACTGAATGAGTGAACAAATGATTGAAAAACAGAATAAATGTAAATTAATGAATAATAATATTCATATACTGCTAATATAAATAAACTATTTCACATATCATTACAATAGACAAGTTAAAGGAAACCAAGAAAAGAAGTAGACAAGAGATCAGACTTGCACCACTTCTCTTGCCATTTTAGTGACACACAGTATTTTGAGAAATGATACACAATATGGTATACAATTCTGAGAAGAGAGAGCAAGAAAACAAGAGAAAGGTAATCAAAATGTAATAGCGTCATAATAAGTACCTGTATCATACTTCCAAATCATGTTYTTCCTGCCTTCACCATTATACCCCAAAACTGACTTCAGTTTTAGACCAGCTTGGTTTGGTGGAGCAGTRTATCTACACTTGGCAAGCACTGAAGTCTTATTTAATCTACTCTTGTAGTGTTTGCATACATTTGGTGGCTTGTCACTGGTTACTGCATCCTTGTTGCTTATTAGACTGACCTCGGCTTTCTTTGGACTCTCTTGGAATGACACCTGATGCAAGAATTTGGGCATTAAAGCATTTTTATTATCTTACCCATTAATGACACTTTACCAACCACTTACTGACACCTTACCAAACCCCTTACTGACACCTTACCAAACCCCTTAATGACATCTTACCAAACCCCTTACTGACACCTTACAAAACCTCTTACTGACACCTTCCCAATCCCTTACAGACACCTTACCAACTACTTAATACAGACACCTTACCAAACCC